CACTCAAAATAAGGCCTTATGAAATACATATGGTATTGTGTTAAAGATTATTACATTTTTAATTATAACATATTCGCTTAGGAATTCCAGAGAACCTAAAAATAGATGAATGCAACAACCATGTCTCAATCACTAACAAATACAGTTATGGGTGGTAACTACAATTTACTCGAAAGGCAAGGCACTCGGGGAAATATTTGAATAAGGCTTTACACTAAGCACTAAGTGTAAGTGTGTTAATTTAACACTGTTCCAGTGTCCATATGGGTCCACAGACTCAACACTTACACTACCGAAATATAGCAAAATGCATTGGAAATGTAGTCATTGACAGGGTTAGAAATAATGATTTTTAATTGAAAAAATAATTGTGTCCTTCAAACTTTGCTTTCGTCAAATAATCCTCAATTTGCAGCAATTACAGCCTTGCAGACCTTTGGCATTCTAGTTGTCAATTTGTTGAAGTAATCTGAAGAGATTTCACCCCATGCTTCCTGAAGCACCTCCCACAAGTTGGATTGGCTTGATGGGCACTTCTTATGTACCATACGGTCAAGCTGCTCCCACAACAGCTCAATAGGGTTGAGATCCGGTGACAGTGCTGGCCACTCCATTATAGACAGAATACCAGCTGACTGCTTCTTCCCTAAACAGTTATTGCGTAGTTTGGAGCTGTGCTTTGGGTCATTGTCCTGTTGTAGGAGGGAATTGGCTCCAATCAAGCGCCGTCCACAGGGTATGGCATGGCGTTGCAAAATTGAGTGATAGCCTTCCTTCTTCAAGATCCTTTTAACATGTACAAATCTCCCACTTTACCACCACCAAAGCACCCCCAGACCATCACATTGCCTCCATCATGCTTGACAGATGGCATCAAGCACTCCTCCAGCATCTTTTCATTTGATCTCCATCTCACAAATGTTCTTCTTTGTGATCCGAACACCTCAAACTTCAATTTGTCTGTCCATAACACTTTTTTTCCAATCTTCCTCTGTCCAGTGTCTGTGTTCTTTTGCCCATCTTGATCTGTTATTTTTATTGGCCAGTCTGAGATATGGCTTTTTCTTTGCAACTCTGCCTAGAAGGTCAGCATCCCGGAGTCGCCTCTTCACTGTTAACGTTGAGATTGGTGTTTTGCGGGTACTATTTAATGAAGCTGCCAGTTGAGGAACTGTGAGGCGTCTGTTTCTCAAACTAGACACTCTAATGTATTTGTCCTCTTGCTCAGTTGTGCACCGGGGCCTCCCACTCCTCTTTCTATTCTGGTTAGAGCCAGTTTGTGCTGTTCTGTGAAGGGAGTAGTACACAGCGTTGTACGAGATCTTCAGTTTCTTGGCAATTTCTCGCATGGAATAGCCTTCATTTCTCAGAACAAGAATAGATTGACGAATTTCAGAAGAAAGTTCTTTGTTACTGGCCATTTTGAGCCTGTAATCGAACCCACAATTGCTGATGCTCCAGATACTCAACTAGTCTCAAGAAGGCCAGTTTTATTGCTTCTTTAATCAGCACAACAGTTTTCAGCTGTGCTAACATAATTGCAAAAGGGTTTTCTAATGATCAATTAGCCTTTTAAAATGATAAACTTGGATTAGCAAACACAACGTGCCATTGGAAAACAGGACTGATGGTTGCCATTTACAACATTAACAATGTCTACACTGTAGTTCTGATCAATTTGATGTTATTTTAATGGACAAAAAAATTGCTTTCTTTCGAAAACAAGGACATTTCTAAGTGATCCCAAACTTTTGAATGGTAGTGTACTGTGAGGGAAAAAGTATTTGATCCCCTGCTGATTTTGTACGTTTGCCCACTGACAAAGACATGATCAGTCTATAATTTTATTGGTAGGTTCATTTGAACAGTGAGAGACAGAATAACAACAAAAAAATCCAGAAAAACGCATGTTAAAATTGTTATGAGTTGATTTGCATTTTAATGAGGGAAATAAGTATTTGACTGTTATGTGAATTATTTAACAAACTATTTCAGTGTCTCTGTGCGTCTCCCAAAAGGTTGTAAGTCTTTTGGGATTTCATTAACGGATAGAGTCCCGGTCTGCATAGTCAGAGATTTATTAATTGGGAATTCTGCCATCACAATTTCAGAGTCCATCTTTTATACTCATACGTCATACAAACATCCCTCCTCTCTGTAGGTGGGCTGTAGTTTTCCACTTTAAAACTGCTCTCCTAACCATTAGGTCACACACATACACATACACACACACACACACACACACATAGGCTGCCTCACAATATCCTGCACCATATTTCATACTCATAAAAAAACCTAACAGTTTCTTTCCTCCCTAAATTCCTCTGTTATCAGTTGCCTGTAGACAGTTCTCCTTGTCCTTTGTTGTCTGGCCTAACTCTTACTCACATTGTTCAATAGTAACACAATGTCATAATTTTTACTGGTCCTACACTCACACATTCTAACACATTTCACACAGTTTCAAGGTGTAATAGTTAGTCATTAATAATTAATCTATCATTGACCCCTCTGCAAAACATGACTTAGTACTTGTTGGCAAAACCCTTGTTGGCAATCACAGAGTTCAGACGTTTCTTGTAGTTGGCCACCAGGTTTGCACACATCTCAGGAGGGATTTTGTTCCACTCCTCTTTGCAGATCTTCTCCAAGTCATTAAGGTTTCGAGGCTGACGTTTGGCAACTCAAACCTTCAGCTCCCTCCACAGATTTTCTATGGGATTAGGGTCTGGAGACTGGCTAGGCCACTCCAGGACCTTAATGCGCTTCTCCTTGAGCCACTCCTTTGTTGCCTTGGCCGTGTGTTTTGGGTCATTGTCATGCTGGAATGCCCATCCACGACCCATTTTCATTGCCCTGGCTGAGGGAAGGAGGTTCTCACCCAAGATTTGACGGTACATGGCCCCGTCCATCGTCCCTTTGATGCGGTGAAGTTGTCCTGTCCCCTTAGCAGAAAAACATCCCCAAAGCATAATGTTTCCACCTCCATGTTTGACGGTGGGAATGGTGTTCTTGGGGTCATAGGCAGCATTCCTCCTCCTCCAAACACGGCAAGTTGAGTTGATGCCAAAGAGCTCCATTTTGGTCTCATCTGACCACAACACTTTCACCCAGTTCTCCTCTGAATCATTCAGATGTTCATTGGCAAACTTCAGACGGGCCTGTATATGTGCTTTCTTGAGCAGGGTGACCTTGCGGGCGCTGCAGGATTTCAGTCCTTCACGGCGTAGTGTGTTACCAATTGTTTTCTTAGTGACTATGGTCCCAGCTGCCTTGAGATCATTGACAAGATCCTCCTGTGTAGTTCTGGGCTGATTCCTCACTGTTCTCATGATCATTGCAACTCCACGAGGTGAGATCTTGCATGGAGCCCCAGGCCGAGGGAGATTGACAGTTCTTTTGTGTTTCTTCCATTTGCGAATAATCACACCAACTGTTGTCACCTTCTCACCAAGCTGCTTGGCGATGGAATTGTAGCCCATTCCAGCCTTGTGTAGGTCTACAATCTTGTCCCTGACATCCTTGGAGAGCTCTTTGGTCTTGGCCATGGTGGAGAGTTTGGAATCTGATTGATTGATTGCTTCTGTGGACAGGTGTCTTTTATACAGGTAACAAGCTGAGATTAGGAGCACTCCCTTTAAGAGTGTGCTCCTAATCTCAGCTCATTACCTGTATAAAAGACACCTGGAAGCCAGAAATGTTTCTGATTGAGAGGGGGTCAAATACTTATTTCCCTCATTAAAATGCAAATCAATTTATAACATTTTTGACATGCGTTTTTCTGGATTTTGTTGTTGTTATTCTGTCTCTCACTGTTCAAATAAACCTACCATTAAAATTATAGACTGAGCATTTCTTTGTCAGTGGGCAAACGTACAAAATCAGCAGGGGATCAAATAATTGTTTTCCTCACTGTAGGTGTTGATTTAGTTTTTTTTTAACACTGGAGAATTTGCCGTGCATCATGATGGCCTAAACAAGTAATCCACAGAATGGAGAGCTTGCTATGTTCATGAGTAGAGCAGGTTGATTATATAGACCCACTTCTTTTATAGTGGTTAAGATAATTCAGGTGTCCCATCTGACAGTCTTTGTAGCACAGTAAGGGGAAGCTGGGAATAGTTTAACCTGTGACTTGGTTAACAGCACATTTCTCAGAGCTGACGAGATCAGTTTGTGTTATCATTGAATTATGCAGACCAGTGACTCCCTTACCATCACAGACTTCTCGTATCATTACAAGAGGCAGTGGGATGTATGGTAAACTGTTCCACAAGCTTTACTAATGGCCTTTTGTCTGATAGCCTGCATTATGTGCCTCTCTCAGGAGGGCTTTATCGCTATCAGAGAGCAATTAAACAGATTAAAACACAGAGTTCATGCATGTTTGGAGACCTGATGATCCCCTGCCCATTTACATTAGAGGCCATTCGAATTGTGAGTGCAGGCAGCGAGATGTAGGACACAATATTTATTTTAAGGCTGGTGTTTAGCTCCCTCCTAAGTGAGAGTGTGAATGTCTCATAATAGCACAAAGGTATAGCCTTTTACTATTTGCTAATGGCTACTGTATAATAATATCAAGCAATAATTGCGTAAAACCCAAAAAGGTGTAATTAGCAAAGATGGAATAATTATGAACAATTTATTTTACACAATGGGTGAAAACTGTCCTCACGGATAGTTAAATTCATACATTAATTTCCTTGAGGACACTGACATTGAAACCATCTTAGCCTTGACACAACACAGTGTGTTACTGATGTCTAGTGGCAACTCAAATTGTAAATCAGCTTGGGCTTCTCTACAAAGATGACAGGCACAGAACATTGTGAATATTTTCATTAAGGGTTTTTTTAGTAGAAAGGAACACTGCTTTGTTTTCTGATTATGTGGAACATGAAGTTCACAAGTACCCATTATCACATTTGCAAGTATCGGTTGACAAGGGCATATTTAGTGTTGCTGATTGAAATCAGGGTACTAAATAATATTTAACCATGTCGGATAATGTGATTTCACTATCTTTACGCTGCCATTTTCTTTCAGGTGAAGGAGTGGCTGTGTCTGAACTGCCAGATGAAGAGAATGGAACCCCCAGGACCTGCCATGATGAAACCCCAACCCTCTCCAAATAAAGGTTCTGCACCTCAGAAGGCCACTGTCACACCCATCGCCACCCAAAAGAAAGACACTCCAACACCAGGCTCCCCCCAGAGAAAACCTGCTACATCAGCAACACAGCCACTCAAGGCAGAGGCTGCTAGAGCAGCAGACCCTCACAAACGGGCCAGCCCAGCGCCTGCTCAGAAGGCACCACAGGAGAACCGGAGAACATCAGGGCCTCAGGAACCACCAGAGCAGCCAGGCCAACCTGGTCATGAGCAGAGTAATGCCACCCCGTCCACACAGCAGGTGCCTGGGAAGCCTCAGCAACAACCTCCAAAAGGTGGGACATCTCCTGCCAAAGCTGTGCCACCACTACAGTCCCAGCCCCCCAAGCAGGAGTCAGGGGGCTTCTTTGGTGGCTTTGGTGGTCCTAAATCTCAGTCTACCTCAAAGCCTGAAGATTCAGTGTCTGGGAAGATGTTTGGCTTTGGCTCCTCCATCTTCAGCTCTGCATCCACTTTGATCACCTCAGCTGTTCAGGATGAGCCCCACATCACACCACCAGCTTCCCCCAAGGTGTCTGCAGCAGCCCAGGCCTCTCCTAAGATGCCCCCTGTAAAGGAGACCAAACCACCTGCTGCTCAGAAAGCGGAGGAGAAAGCAGAGCAACCCCAGCAGGCTGCAGTCCCCCCATCAGTACAGGCCAAAGTGGACAAACCCCCATCAGAGCCTCCAAAGGGAGCAGCATCCTCCCAACCAGCTCCCAAAGCAGGACAGTCCACCTGCCCACTCTGCAAGGTGGAACTCAACATGGCCTCCAAAGACCCTCCCAACTACAACACCTGTACCGAATGCAAGAACACGTTCTGCAACCTCTGTGGATTCAACCCCATGCCAAATGTTACTGAGGTAAGATAGACTTAATATCACTTAATTACTGTGTTAATAAATCATTACTGATGTATTATTAGACAAAGACAACTTTATTTTTAGAAAAGTTCAGTGAGCTAAAAGTCGGAAGTTTACATACACTAAGTTGACTGCCTTTAAACAACTTGGAAAATTCCAGAAAATGATGTTATGGCTTTAGAAGCTTCTGATAGGCTAATTGACATAATTTGAGTCAATTGGAGGTGTAGCTGTGGATGTATTTCAAGGCCTACCTTCAAACTCAGTGCCTCTTTGCTTGACATCATGGGAAAATCAAAATAAATCAGCCAAGACCTCAGAAAAAAACTGTAGACCTCCACAAGTCTGATTCATCCTTGGGAGCAATTTCCAAACGCCTGAAGGTACCACGTTCATCTGTACAAACAATAGTACACAAGTATAAACACCATGGAACCACACAGCTGTCATACCGCTCAGGAAGGAGACGTGTACTGTCTCCTAGAGATGAACGTACTTTGGTGCGAAAAGTGCAAATCAATCCCAGAACAACAGCAAAGGACCTTGTGAAGATGCTGGAGGAAACGGGTACAAAAGTATCTATATCCACAGTAAAACAAGTCCTAAATCGACATAACCTGAAAAGCCGCTCAGCAAGGAAGAAGCCACTGCTCCAAAACCGCCATAAAAAAGCCAGACTACGGTTTGCAACTGCACATGGGGACAAAGATAGTACTTTTTGGAGAAATGTCCTCTGGTCTGATGAAACAAAAATAGAACTGTTTGGCCAAAATGACCATCGTTATGTTTGGAGGAAAAAGGGGAACGCTTGCAAGCCGAAGAACACCATCCCAACCGTGAAGCACGGGGGTGGAAGCATCATGCTGTGTGGGTGCTTTGCTGCAGGAGGGACTGGTACACTTCACAAAATAGATGGCATCATGAGGAAGGAAAATTATGTGGATATATTAAAGCAACACCTCAAGACATCAGTCAGGAAGTTAAAGCTTGGTCGTAAATGGGTCTTCCAAATGGACAATGACCCCAAGCATACTTCCAAAGTTGTGGCAAAATGGCTTAAGGACAACAAAGTCAAGTGGCCATCACAAAGCCCTGACCTCAACCCTATAGAACATTTTGGGCAGACCTGAAAAAGCATGTGCGAGCAAGGAGGCCTACAAACCTGACTCAGTTACACCAGCTCTGTCAGGAGGAATGGGCCAAAATTCACCCAACTTATTGTGGGAAGCTTGTGGAAGGCTACCCAAAACGTTTGACCCAAGTTAAACAATTTAAAGGCAATGCTACCAAATACTAATTGAGTGTATGTAAACTTCTGACCCACTGGGAATGTGATGAAAGACATAAAAGCTGAAATAAATCATTCTCTCTACTGTTATTCTGACATTTCACATTCTTAAAATAAAGTGGTGATCCTAACTGACCTAAGACAGGGAATTTTTACCATGATTAAATGTCAGGAATTGTGAAAAACTGACCTAAATGTATTTGGCTAAGGTGTATGTAAACTTCCGACTTCAACTGTAATCTCTACACGGATAATCTTAGTCATTTTGAAATTATAATGTTATCTTTTAGATTTGAAATGTCTGTTCATTTCGAGCAGTGTATTTCAGTTCCAGAAATAACCTTTAGACATTGCACTGTTGGTCGGTTCATTACTTGTTCATTCTCTCTTCGTACAAATAGAAACAACTTGTCTGACATGGTTTTAGCCTGCGTGGATAGATTGGTATTTTACATTACTGAAGAGAGACAATGCAAAGTCTCAATTGTAGTGGTTATGGCTATTCATTTCCTGACTTGTTCTTGACTCATATTAATTCTACCAACAGTGGCATTGTACTATAGGGAATAGAAGTGGAAGTTCACATGGTTCAAATACTTCTCTTTTACAGTGTGCTTTGCACATATGCAATACACCTAATACTTAAACTGCAAGTCATGTTGAAGCTCAGAACAGCAACAGTGATGTATCACAGAATGCTGGATGATTTATGTCTCAGAGAGTAAGGGGTAATGTCTGATGATATCACGGCAGAAACATTTGCTTGTGCTGCTTTCCATCATGCAGATGTAGAGCTGTATAAGAAATTGATTCAGTTCTGTAATCCTCTCACAATGTAAAAATGTTTCAGGTGAAGGAATGGCTGTGTCTGAACTGCCAGATGCACAGAGCACTTGGAGGAATGGAACCTCAAGGACCTACCATGATGAAACCTAAGCCTTCCCCCAACAAAGACTCTGCTCCTGCTGCTTCTCAAAAGAGAGACACTCCAACACCATCTGGTCCCCAAAAAGTAGCCACTGCACCAGCCTTACCCAAAAAGGAGCCAGTGACTCCAGCCTCCCAGCCTGTCCCCTCAAAACCTGAAGAGTCAGTGTCTGGAAAGGTGTTTGGCTTTGGTTCCTCCATTTTCAGCTCTGCATCCACTTTGATCACCTCAACTGTTCAGGACGAGCCCCACACCACACTGCCAGCTTCCCCCAAGGTGTCTGCACCTGTTGCACCTCAAAAGAAGGAAACTCCCACACCAACTGGTGCCCAAAAAGGTGCATCAACACCATCATCACCCAAAAAAGAGGCTCAAACACCAGCCACAGCCCCAAAGAAGGACATCCCAATGCCAGGCTCCCCCCAGAGAAAGCCAGACTCCCCCGCAATGACTGCAAAGCAGGACCAGAAATCTGCAGGTCCTCTAAATCCAGGAGACCCATCAGGGGCTAAGCAGGGGAGTGCTGCACAACCACAGCAGCAGCCCCCACAGCAGAAGACTCCACAAGTCCAGCCTCAGCAGACCCCAGCAAGTGCACTGAAAGCAGAGCCTGGGAAGCCTCAGCAACAGCCTCCTAAAGTTGGAACCTCTCCAGGACCTGCTCAGAAGGCACCACAGGAGAACCGGAGAACATCAGAACCTCAGAAACCACCACAGCAGCCCAGCCTTGGGCGTAGGCAGAGTAGTGCCATTCCATCAATACAGCAACACCCCAAGCAGGAGTCAGGAGGCTTCTTTGGCTTTGGTGGTCCCAAATCTCAGTCTAACCCCTCAAAGCCTGAAGAGTCAGTGTCTGGGAAGATGTTTGGCTTTGGCTCCTCCATCTTCAGCTCTGCATCCACTTTGATCACTTCAGCTGTTCAGGACGAGCCCCACACCACTCTGCCAGCTTCCCCCAAGGTGTCTGCACCGGCCTCTCCCAAGATGCCCCCTGCAAAGGAGACCAAACAACCTGCTGCTCAGAAAGCAGAGGAGAAGAAAGCAGAGCAACCCCAGCAGGCCAAGGTCCCCCCATCAATACAGGCCAAAGTGGACCAACCCCCATCAGAGCCTCAAAAGGGAGCAGCATCCTCCCAATCAGCACCCAAAGCAGGCCAGTCCACTTGTCCACTCTGCAAGGTGGACCTCAACATGGACTCCAAGGACTCTCCCAACTACAACACCTGCACCGAATGCAAGAACACTGTCTGCAACCTCTGTGGATTTAACCCCATGCCACATGTTACAGAGGTAAATAAAATTGCAATCATTATAGCAAGCAAGTCATATTTTATGTTCTTGTTTGCTTAAATTGTTTCAGAAATATCCATTGAGAACAGTCTGTTATTTTCAGTTTGATTATCATAGTTTACACTTATATTAAATGTGACTGAATTATTTTTTTCAGGTGAAGGAATGGCTGTGTCTGAACTGCCAGATGCAGAGAGCACTTGGAGGAATGGAACACCCAGAACCTCCCATGATGAAACCCCATCCCTCGCTCAGCAAAGTTTCTACACCTGTTGCACCTCAAAAGGAGACTCCGGCATCTCAAAAGGAAAAGGCGACTGCCATACCTGCTGTAGCTCAGAAGAAGGCCGCCTCCACACTCCAAAAAGAGGAGACAACCACACTTGCTGCACCACAAAAAGAGACTCCATTACCAGCCTCATCCAAAATGGGGGAGACATCAGTTACAGCTATAAAGCAGGACACTCCAACACCAGAGTCACCACAAATGAAAAGGGATCCTACACCACCAGGTGTGTCTGTAACAGATGAGGTCCCAACCACAGCTTTACCTGTGAAGAAGGAGGTTTCTGCCTCTGCCCTTATGAAGGAGGAACCAACTCCTGCCTCAGCTCTCACCAAGGTGGGACCAACTTCTGCCTCCCCTCTCATCAAGGAGGCACCAACTCCTGTCTCAGCTCTCACCAAGGAGGCACCAACTCCTGCCTCAGCTCTCACCAAGGAGGTCCCTGTTTCACTTCTCACTAAGGAGGCACCAGCCCCAGCCTCACCTCAAAATAATAAGGAACCTATACTACCAGGGTCACAAGACAGAAAGGTGGCCCCAACACCAGGTTCAACCCAAGATAACGAGGCTGTACAATCAGGTTTACCTCTGAAGATGGAAGCACCACCTTCGACAGCAGTAGAGACTAAAGAGGTGCAACTTCCAGCTGCAATACAAAGCAATGAGGCACCTGTTCCAGATTCACTCAAAACAAAAGAGATTACAACAGTTGACTCCGCACTGAAAAAAGAGGCTTCATCTACAGAGATCTCAATTGACAACCAGAAACCTGCAATTGTTCAAAAGTCGATGGAGCCACCAGCCACACCTACAAACAAGCAGAATGAGGCTGTTCAACCCTTACAGCAGCCAGAAAAGCAAATGCCTGCGCAGGAACAGCCAGCTACACAACCTCCGGCACAAGTACAGCCCCAGGAAGCTCCAAAGCCAGATCCCAAAATCACTCCCCCAAAGCAGGAGCTTGGGAAACCAGCCAGCCCAGCATCTGCTCAGAAGGCACCAGAGAACCGGAGAACATCAGAACCTCAGAAACCACCACAGCAGCCCAGCCAGCCTGGGCGTAGGCAGAGTAGTGCCATTCCATCCACACAGCAACACCCCAAGCAGGAGTCAGGAGGCTTATTTGGCTTTGGTGGTCCTAAATCTCAGTCTACCCCCTCAAAGCCCGAAGAGTCCGTTTCTGGGAAGATGTTTGGCTTTGGCTCCTCCATCTTCAGCTCTGCATCCACTTTGATCACTTCAGCTGTTCATGACGAGTCCCGCACCACACCGCCAGCTTCCCCCAAGGTGTCTGCACCGGCCTCTCCCAAGATTCCCCCTGGAAAGGAGACCAAACCACCTGCTGCTCAGAAAGCAGAGGAGAAGAAAGGAGAGCAACACCAACAGGCCAAGGTCCCCCCATTATTACAAGCCAAAGTGGACAAACCCCCATCAGAGCCTCCAAAGGGAGCAGCATCCTCCCAACCAGCTCCCAAAGCAGGCCAGTCCACCTGTCCACTCTGCAAGGTGGAACTCAACATGGGCTCCAAGGACCCTCCCAACTACAACACCTGCACCGAATGCAAGAACACGTTCTGCAACCTCTGTGGATTCAACCCCATGCCACATGAAACAGAGGTAAGTAAACAGCTATGATTCATCAAAGTAATTTGGCTACTCTACCATAAATGTTGTGCTTTATTATAGAACAGTTGGTTAAGAATACTAACTATGCATTGACAATGTCTATAGTTGCCAGTCATGTCTTTCATGGGAGTTGTAAGATAGGATAAGAAGATGCTATGATGGAGCTCTTTTTACTACTACTACTATTGGCTTTTTGTTTATGATCTTCCTGGACGCAAATTGTAATCTGACAGCATTGTCTCTCGGTATTTTGGCAAGGTTTTGACATTCATGTTCATCTGCTACTGATCACATTTATCATACGTTGCATGACTTTTGTCTGAAAGGGATTGGAGTACATAGTGCCTGCCAATATTCTACAGAATATGCACCAGACTATGTCCTATTAAAATTAGGTTCACAAACAATGAGAGGAGAAACAATGAGGATTGTAGGTCTATGAACACATTCACACTGTCTGTAGATGTTATCTAATTTTAAATCTTGAAGAATTGTATTAATACAGTCTGATATCAATTGTTCATTTGATTTAGCATCTTCAGATTTAGAAAATTATCGCAGTAGTGTTGCTACATGTTTGTAACATGTAGTATGAAGCATTTAAACAGCAACTAAGATAAGAGCATCTGTAAGTCCTCAGACTGCAATACAATTGTACAAGATTGTTTTGTAAAAAAAAAAAATCAACACTGTTATTTTATTTCAGGTAAAGGAATGGCTGTGTCTGAACTGCCAGATGCAGAGAGCACTTGGAGGAATGGAACCCACAGGACCGCTGATGATTAAACCCCAACCCTTGCCCAGCAAAGTCTCCACACCTGTTGCATCTCAAAAGCTGACCCCAGCACCAGCTAAACCCCAAAATGAGGAGATTCCAGTACCTGTGGCTGCCCAAAAAGAGAGAACTCCACCCACTGTACCTCAGGAGACACTAATACCCGCTGGAACCCCATCAACAGGTGCAGTCAAAAAGGAGGAGACCCCAGCACCAGGATCCTCACAAAACAAACAGGCTCCACCTGCTGTGGCTGCAAAGGACAACCAGGAACCTATAATTGTTCAGAAACCAGTGGACCAAATAATTCCAGCGACACCTAAACCCAGTGTAGCTGCTACACCTGCACAGCAGCCAGAAAAGCAAACTCCTCCACTGCAACAGCCTGCTGCAAAGCCCCCACCACAAGTACAGCCCCAGCAAGTTCCAAAGCCAAACCCCAAAACTGAGCAGGAGCCTGGAAAGCCTCAACAACAGCTTCCAAAAGGTGGGACCTCTCCGGCCAAAGCTGTACTGCAACCACAGGCCCAGCCCCCAAAGCAGTCAGGGGTCTTCTTTGGCTTTGGTGGTCCTAAGTCTCAGCCTGCTGCCTCAAAGCCTGAAGGGTCAGTTTCTGGGAAGATGTTTGGCTTTGGCTCCTCCATCTTCAGCTCTGCATCCACTTTGATCACCTCAGCTGTTCAGGACGAGCCCCGCAACACACCGCCAGATTCCCCCAAGGTGTCTGCACCGGCCTCTCACAAGATGCCCCCTGCAAAGGAGACCAAACCACCTGCTGCTCAGAAAGCACAGAAGAAGAAAGCAGAGCAACCCCAGCAGGCGAAGGCCACCCCATTATTACAGGGCAAAGTTGACCAACCCCCATTAGAACTTCCAAAGGGAGCAGCATCTTCCCAACCAGCTCTCAAAGCAGGCCAGTCCACCTGTCCACTCTGCAAGGTGGAACTCAACATGGGCTCCAAGGACTCTCCCAACTACAACACCTGCACCGAATGCAAGAACACTGTCTGCAACCTCTGTGGATTTAACCCCATGCCACATGAAACAGAGGTAAGACTGTGAAAATATGTTAATTACATGTGATTATGTGTGTATTAAACATACCTCTCAAAGTTGCTATGGATGTTTCAAGACCTCTGTAATCCCCAATGCCACGTTGAGCAGGTGTAATTTCTCGAGTAGTATTCAGAAAATCCTAACCCCATAGGCACATGGCAGAGGTTGATGGTGATTTACTCACTAAACTGTTTTATTATCCAGCCTTAGACTATTTATGTTGCTTCTAGAGGAGCCAGGTCTTATAGTTTTGAATTGTTTTTTAGCTCAAATCAAGGTACATACTATCCAGACCAATTTTGGATTTACGTTTACTACACAGGTCTTCTTTTTGTCTTACATTGAATGAAAATGTGTCAGTTGGTAAAGCACCATTGTATGAGATTGCTCCCTTTGCTTGTGCTGTGATACGTGATTTGGGAGGCTGTAGTCTACTCAATCCAATGTGTCCTGATACAGTGACTCTGTAACAGTGTAGGTCATTACAGGGTACTCGTGGTGATTTTACCTGCTGATGACTAATAATAACAGGCCTTGGCTTCCTGCTCAAACAGCTCACAGCAGTTCACCCAGCTGGTAGGGACGGATTGAGGAATGGAGGCTGACAGGGCTAGAGCTGGCAACATGGATGCTCTCTGCTCTATGCAGTTAACTTCCATTATCACAGCCCATAATCCACCCTGTTTTCAGTGCTGCTGTGTTTCACTCAATACTTTCTAAAGGCTTAATGGGTAAAGGGCCAATAACAACATTAGTGGCCAGCAGGGACTAGTGGTGCAGCTTTCAAGAACCTTGAAATGCTAAGTGATTGGCACCCATTCCAGCCAAACAGACTTGGGTTTAAAAAAACACTGGCAATATAATTAAATGTGCTGATGAGTTCATTCTTCCTTGGGGCAGAACAGTTTAGATTTGACAAGATATAGCATTTTCACCTCCTCCATGTTTTGAGAGTGAGATGATTTTAAAGGTATGAGACCTCTATAGATGAGAGACTGATCTCTGCATTGGAAATGTGTGGAGAGCTGCCCAGACAATGCATTAGCACTGAGGTCTTAAGTACAATGGCTCGATGTAATCTTTTGAGGGGCCTCAAACAGCATTAAAACCATAGTCAAATGCACTCTGTGTGGGTGATGGCTGCCTGCCTCTCCCTGGGACATCCCTCTCATGGTTAGGTCTCAGTGGATGTGACATAACGGCTCATGCGAGGCGTGCCTCAGCCTCGGCGGTCCGGCATCACTGAAACTGTATTAAAGTGATTAAGAGTTGTGCAACAGCATTAGCGAGATGGAATCTGCTGCTGCCGCTGGCTGGGGACTCCAGCCCCCATGAAAGATGGCAGGGCCCTGTGATATGCTAATAGGCAGAGGTGAGCTGGATTCATTCCAACACAACACAGCAGCAGCACAGCAGCAGCATGTTTCCCCTGCGGCCATCTGCTCCCCTCACAGATCACTGGGTCCCTGCACTTCAACTGTTTCATTTAAATTATGCTCTACACGTGTGTTTGCTGCTAATAGTGGTGTACTTGTGTGTTAAATTCCTGTCACCAACACACTGACGCGGGCTGGCACGTTGGGTGCCGCTCTCGCCTCTCGGTCACCTCTGAGTTAATTAAAGTAGGCTAGTGTTAATTAGGGAACTCCCTATTTCCAGGCTGGCAATGAAGAGTGCTTCAATTACAGCTAGCATTACAATGTTTCCCATTGGTTGTTTACTCTCAGGTGTGTGAGCATGTGATAACATATGTGATTGAATGACTGAGTCAAACCCAGGCACTCAACAATGAGTATGTCCCAAAGGGTAATGAGATGCATTATTATTATTATTATTATTATTATTGTTGGTTCCTCAAATTATAGCCATATCATTTCAAGGTGCATTATTATTATTATTTCCTCATATTATCATTTCAATAGCGTAACCTACTCTCCACATGGGCGCAAATGGCACCACTCTGATGTCAGTGTTGATACAGTGGGCTAGCTAGCCAATACACCAGAGTTCCAATGTAATAACATCTCTTAGTCACACAACTGGAGGCCTTTTCTAAAGGTCATCTTTTGATGCTAATGCCTTTGTAATAAGATGGTGGGTTTTTTGTACTAGCCTCCACAGGCGGGACCAAAATACCACCAGATTAAACCTGAAAGCAGCTAGCATTGAATGGAAACTCAAAGATTTATGTAGCCCATTTAATAGATTTTTTGCAATGGTTGCATTCTAGGTAATATATGATATTCAGTAATTGTCAGTATTTGTTGCAGGTGACATACTGCATTAGCCACATACAGCATTTGTATTTGTATGCTAGTTGAGACATATTTTCAACAAGGCTCAGCCTATCTCACACAACATTATGGCAGAATAATGCTCCATCTGATGAGGCTCTTACATAATTGACTCTCCTCCTTGTGTCTTTCATGGAGAGCAGACAATGCAGCCTGAGGTGGGGGTTGTGGGATACAGGGACACTGGCTACTATGTACACCACTCAACACACGCCTGTGTAACACTGAAGTACGATGTCTGGGAATGTGTAATTGCAGGGGCAGCTGACCTCCACATTGTCATACTGCATTGTGCTTTTCTTGATTTTTTTTCAGATTGACAGACATGCTGCCAAAGCCTTTTTATTTTCTACAGAATAATACAAAGCAGTGGTATGGTTAGAGGAGAGGAGAGGGGGAGGGGAGGGGGGAGGGGCATTGAAACTAGAGGAGCAAACGCCAGCAGCAAGTCTGTTCATTTCCCCTCCTCCTCTCTCTCTTTATACTCCAGCTGATCTTATCAAAAGGCTGAGTGGATGTTTTCTGTTATCTAGAACACCTGTGTTCCCTCCCTGGGTCTGTTTACAGCTGTTTGCTATTGGACCACTATACTGGCTGCTTAGTTATATTGTTCCATACTGGGTAATAATGAGAGAAGCATTATTGCTGGTTAGCAGTCTCATAGTACAGATGTGCTGGTACCACCAATAGCCTTTGTATAAAAGAACAGTGCTATAACTTGTTATTTTCTAAAATAAAAAGGACTCCCGAAAGATGTAAACAACCAAAAAAGCTGCGAGTTGTGGTCCACGGCTACCTCATAATCTTTAAGCCTAGCTGTAGGCAGCAATCATCAAACCCGCCTCCAAATCAAATTAAATTGTATTTGTCACACGCTTCATAAACAACAGGTGTAGACTAACAGTGAAGTGCTCCAAGGTTATTAACCAAGGTTAAACTGTGGTACATTTGCTGTACTCTCAGCTAGGAATTTCTAAATGTTGAGATGTGTTCCACTGTAGGCCCTACCCTGGCTGTTGCTGCCGTGATAAGGAGAAACCCCTTGGTGCACCGAGCGACTTAAAAATACTGCATCCTTTCAACTCTTCTTCACAGACTGTGTGTTTCACAGGGTTCTAAGCTCTTTCATGTAGGGTTTATAACCATATCACTTTATTTTTCAGTGTGTTTGTCTCAAAGATCAAGACGTGATATGATTTTCTTTTTACTTCTGAGGCTGTATGTTTGAAAGGATAGTCTGCAGAGCCAATCTGATTTAAATGTGCGACCCTTGAGCTGTTTTGGACCTGGTCTTCCTTTTAAAAAGATGGTTTAAATGATACTAACCTTGATACAGTTAGGGCTATGAAGGATTTCACTGCTGTAGCCTACTTTCCACCTCAATTGACTCAGAGTAATATCTCTGTTATTTTAGGGCAGTTGATTGGTGTGTTGTGCATAGGAGCAGTTCCTAGCTGTGATGTGCATCCTTTAAGCTAAAATATCCCTTCAAAATGGGAAAGTGGTGCTGCTTGCTATTTTGAAGGTGGGCTAGGCTGAGAAGGAATATAATCTCCCCCTAGTGACCTGTCCCCCTTAATGCACTCATAGTGCATCTTTCTTTCTTTCTTTCTTTCTTTCTTTCTTTCTTTCTTTCTTTCTTTCTTTCTTTCTTTCTTTCTTTCTTTCTTTCTTTCTTTCTTTCTTTCTTTCTTTCTTTCTTCTTTCTTTCGTTTCTTTTCTTTTCTTTCTTTCTTTCTTTCTTTCTTTCTTTCTTTCTTTCTATATATTTACCCATCTCTCTCTCCATATCATCTCCCCTTATCTCTCTCTCCCCTCTCTCATTCTTCCCCTCTCTCTGCCTGTCTTCAAAGGAAAGTTTGTTGACGTGTCATTCATCAGATTTGAGAGAAAGAGCAGGACCTGGGCTCCTCGTCTTTAGAATGAAGAAGTCTACTTATTGCAGATTAGTGGGTCAACACTCTATTATCAGAGGGCCAGATTGATGAGGAGTGGGAGCACTTCGAGGGCTGCTGAAAGCACACTATATTAGCCAGCTACAGCCCTTGCCAAAGGCGGCTACAAGGAAATCAATAAGGAACCTACCAGCACGAGCTTCTATAAGAATAGAGTTTCTCTGATGGCCTGACATATACAGCTACTAACACAACCCACAGGCCTTTTATTCAATACACCTCTCGGATGGGATGATATCAGATGTAAATTTCCAGTATTTCTGTACGCCCGCTGCCAGGGGCCTTGGCTGGCACACTGTGTGCTTGTGAATAGAGTAATGCAGCCAAGCTATTGGTGTTGTTTTGTAATGTAGACATGTTTACGAAAACAGTTTATGCTTGCTTACAGCAGCAGTGTGTTGGACCTACAGGCTCTCTGGTTTCACATTTGTTTTAAAGAGCATTCTTTGCTGAGTTGCACACCTGTGTTATTTGATATCGATGCCTATGTTGTAGCTGAATAAGATGAATGCCTCTTGTCGCTCAAGCCACTGATGCTGTTATAGCTCTAGCTGGCATGGGGTCCCTGTGTGTCAGCATAGTAGCTTCCTGAGTGCTGTCACTGTGAAGACCTTGTTAATCTAGCTCTGAGCCTAATCACAATCGACGCCTGCCTCCCTTGCTCCCATGCTCCCCCTGCCCTCAGCACAGAGCTCCTGCTCAAACTTATTTAATTAAAGGAAGGGATGATGGTAGGCCCAGGATTCAGGGGTCTCTA